ACATACATCCTCATATTTTCTTGTTATTGTTGTTTTTAAAATTATGTACATTGATTTATATATAAATGTGTGTGTGTATATATATACACATACATACATACATACATATATAAGTGAGGGGGAAGGGAGGAAGAAAGCAGGAGAGAAACACATATGTGAGGAAGAAGCATTGATCAGATGCCTCTCTTATGCACCCTGACCAGGAATCAAACCTGCAGCTCAACCCAGGTATCTGCCCTGACCAGGAGTTGAACTAGCAACCTTTTGCTTTGTGGGATGATGCTCAACCAACTGAGCCACACTGGTCAGGAGTACATACATTTTTTTTTTAGATTTTTAAAAAAAGAGTTTATTTATTCATCTTTAGAGAGAGGGTAAGGGAGAGAGAAAGAAAGAGGGAGAGAAACATTGAAGTGAACACATCCATTGGTTACCTCTCACACACCCCTAAACAGGGACCTGGCCTGCAACCCAGGCATGTGACCTGGTCAGGGACTGAACTGGAGACCCTTTGCTTCGCAGGCTGGCACTCAATCCACTGAGCCACACCAGTCAGGACTACACAGATTTTTAAAAAGAGAAACATTAGTTGTTTCTACCATATACTCTAAACTATCAGAAGTTCAGATAAATTCAGGTTATATTCTTCCTTTTGCCTCTTTTCTAAATTAAAAATATTTTAAATTAAAAACCTTTGAAAAGTATTATAGCAACAATATTAATAAGATTTTGTTGGACTTCTGGTCAAGATGGAGGCAGAAGTAGACATGCTTCACCTCTGTATGGAAGTCCAACAACCAAAGATTTAAAGAAGCCACATTCACCCAGATGGGTAGGAGTGGCGGAGACATAGAGACGAGTGGAGAGTCGAGGAGATGTGAGGGTGGAGAGGTGGCAGTGGATAGGCGGTCCCTCATTCACGTGTGGTGGATGAAAATCAGGAAGGATACCTTGGGAGCGAGCAATCCCAGTCCCAGGCCTGACTGCACAGCCAAGGGTTCTAGTACCAGAAAGATAAATCTCCATAATTGCTGCCTGTAAAAACCAGTGGGGGTTGGGGCAGTGGAAGAAACTGCCAGATTTTCAGGAGACTCTGTGTAAAGGGCCTGCATGGTCTTAGAATGTATATAAATCCACCCACTCTGGATTCAGCACCAGGGCAACAACTGGAAGGATACTAGTGACACATGCGGAGTGGGTGCAGTGACTGGAAATGGGGCAGATACTGGGCAAACCTCCAGAAGCCAGTAGTAGTACTGTCCTCTCTCCAAATCTTCCCCCCACACAGAGCCACCAAGTGGTGAAGTGGGTTGCCCCACCTAGTGATTACCTAAGGCTCCACTTCACACAATTTAAAGATGCCTTTTCTATAACACACCATGTTACTAAGGTGGAGTCAAAGCAGCTCTACCTAATACACAGAAGCAAACACAGGGAGGCTGCCAAACCGAGAAGACAAAGAAATATGGCCCAAATGAAAGAATAGAACAAAACCCCAGAAAAAGAACTAAATGAAACAGAAATAACTAACCCATCATATGCAGAGTTCAAAACACTGGTGATCAGGATGCTCAAAGAATTCATTGAGTACGGCAACAACATAAAGAAAGAAATTAAGGTTACATTAAGTAAAATAAAGAAAAATCTACAGGGAACCAACAGTGAAGGGGAGGAAGCTGGGATTTAAATAAATGATTTGGAACATAAGGAAGAAGTAAGCATTCAACCAGAACAGAAAGAAGAAACAAGAATTAAAAAAACAATGAGGACAGTATAAGAAAGCTCTGGGACATCTCCAAACATACCAACATCCAAACCATAGGGATGCCTTAAGGAGAAGAGAAAGAGCAAGAAATGGAAAACTTATTTGAAAAAATAATGAAAGAAAACTCCCGTAATCTGGCAAAGGAAATAGACATAGAAGTCCAGGAAGCCCAGAGTCCCAAACAAATTGGACTCAAAGAGGACCACACCAAGACACATCATAATTAAAATGCTGAAGGTTAAAGATAAAGAGAGAATCTTAAAAGCAGCACAAGAAAGCAGAGAGTTACCTACAAAGACTTTCCCATGAGACTATCAGCTGCCCCCACAAAAAAACTTTATAGGCAAGAAGGGACTGGCAAGAAGTATTCAAAATGATGAAAAGCAGGAACCTATAGCCTAGATTACTCTATCCAGCAAAGCTATCATTTAGAGTGGAAGGGCAGATAAAGTGCTTTCCAGACAAGGTAAAGTTAAAGGAGTTCATCTTCATGAAGCCATTAGTACATGAAATATTAAAGGGACTTATTTTTTAAAAAGAAGATGAAAACTATGAACATTAAAATGGCAACAAGTTCACAATGATCAACAACTGAATCTAAAAAAACAAACTTAGCAAACAATAGAAGAGGAACAGAATCATAGATATGGAGAACATTTGGAAGGTTACCAGCTGGGAGGGGAAGGAGGAGAATGGGGAAAAAGTGAAGGGATTAAGAAGCATAATTGGTAGGTACAAAATAAACGGGGCGGTTAAGAGTAGTATAGTAAATGGAGAAGCCAAAGAACTTACATGCACCACCCATGGGCATAAACTACAGTGGGGGGTATTGCTGGTGGCAAAAGGGATACTGGCTGGAGGGGAACAAAGGGAGACAAATTGGGACAACTGTACTAGCATAATCAATGAAATATATTTTAAAAGAGGTTTTGCTAAATAGAAAAGAATCCAAAATCAGGTGAGCCCTTACCATAAAAATAAAACTTTCCTGTTTCTTTTCTAGTCTGCAAAACTTGCTTCTGTCATAAAGAAGGCACTTGAAATTACAAAGTGAGTATGAGGATCTCTCCCCAAATAGATTTATGAGAATAAACCTGTCCAGCCATTCTCAGTTCCCATTTCAAGGAATGGGGGTGGAGCTTTCTTTCAACTTCAGTTGCAGAGCAGCTGGGTTTCTGCAAAGAAACTTGCCTTTCTCAATAGAGTTTCCTGTGTGCTTCCTGTTGAGGATGGGTTTTCCCTTGACAGTGTAATAAATTTCACTTCTCTGTGTTCCATTCCATTTACAGATCAAGTCATGTGACCCCACAGACAGAAGACAGTTGGATCCCTTTACTCATTAATGCCGTTGATCATTGCATGAATAGAATCAAGGAACTGACCCAGAATGAACTGGAATTATGAGTTTCCAGGCTCTTTTGTCCTCTCTTCTCTCTGTTTCTTACTGTCAGAGCCAGGCTTAGATGTCTGCTTTTTAAATGGGGCTAGAATGCTTTCTGGTTTGAAAGAGAGTTTCTGTCTATACTTATCAAGAGATGCTGTTACCAAAGATTGTTGGTGAAGCCAGAGTGACAATTATTTATAAAATATATGAGTATGATATATTTTTCTGTGCTAGATACAAATATAATAGCATGAATTTGTGCTCCTGAATCACCTCCCAGAGATTCCTGGGGAAGCTGCCTTACTCCCTATTTGCAATAAAGTGTGTTGTTTCTTTGTAATAGATGTTGACAGTCTTAATAAAATGCAAAGTGGCTAGTGGTTAACTGAGTACCCTTCCAAAGTTTCTTTTTACCAGAAATTCAGGTTGTAACTCGAACATTGCTTTCCTTTGGATTTGTAGGTCTAAAGATCTGATCTGATCAAAAGTATACTTAGAACAGAACACTTGACTTTAATGTGAATAAGGTGACTCCAAGGCCCCTCTTAGTACTTGAGCATGTTATATCATACCCTTATTCTTATCAAATCCTTCTGAATATTATTTCAGGTCAATCCATGTCCCTCAAGTTATTTTCTGTAATTGAATTCATTTGTTAGGTTTGTTTACTACAGTGAACCAGATTTTTTAGATACATACCTGTATTGTTTCTGTTGTATATTATATGTGTCCCCAGATAATACAAAATTTTTATATATCAAAAAAAGTTTAACGTATAAGAGTTTATATAACTTTAAGAGTCTCTTCAGTTAGTCCTTTTGCAAAACCATCACCACTTAACTGTATTTTTGCATCAGTCTGGAAGATTATATATTGGAAACAAGGTAAACCCCTAGTGATGTAGTGACTTGGGCCCTTTTCCTTGTGCAGTTGTGTGTCACGCATCACATCTACCCTCCCGGTGTTCCCCTAGTCTCTTTAGGCATGAATAGCAACAGCAGCCATTCTTTTGAGCAACTAGTGTATCCTTGGGGTTGGAATTCTTAAAAGAGTTTTAATTTACCTTCATAAAGTGCCATTCTGGATTTTTAACAAATATCATAAAGGAAAAGAACTAAAACTAAGGAAGTGTCAAAGCAACAAAATAATGAAAACAAAAAAAATCATAACTTTGTACAAAAAGGAGTCCAGTTCTTTTATTCTTTCCTTTAGGGCCTATTTCCTATATACTTAATGATTTTCATATTTCTCTAGTAGACCAAATTCACGCTACATCAGACTTTAATTGTGGGATACTTAATGCATACAGAGCTCTCACAGGAACTTCTCTATAGCTGAATCTAGAAGACCCTTCTCCTCTCAGGCCTTACGTTTTGTATTTTATAACTTTGTTCAGTTATCTTTGAAAATTTAAGGGTAATGGTCAGGGATAGCATCAATCAATATAATCTTAGGATTACCTAAAACTTCAATTTTTAGTTAATATTGCCCCACTTCATCAGAAATATAAGAATGATTTAAATGTTAGGTTCTTTACCTATAAGTTAATAAATGCATTAGCACCGAAATGGTTATGAAAACCCTGAACCAGAAAATCTGAATGTACTTATCTGAGTGCCTTTTTAAAAGTTTTATCACTCAAGCCCAGTAGTTTCCATTCTAAGACTAGTCTTTGTGGCTGCCTTAAGCTGGAGTGACAGAGACGAATATCTTTACTATTGATTTCTGAGAATCTAATTCTGTTCTTGGTCACTCTCTGCTCAGCCTGAATGGACGTTCCCTTCCCGCACATTCAGTTCAGATCACAGATACAAGGGGGTGGTTGGGGCACATGATGCTGGAGCTGGTCGTTTAAGCTGCAAGTTCAGGGGCTACCACAGTGACACTTCTGTAGTTGGTTAGGTTCTGGAATGTGTTGCAGTCCATTTCCACCGTGAGCCGCTGGAGCCCCACCTTCGTAGGTGTGAACCGGAATTGGGTGCACAAGGTGTCTCCAGGCCGTACAGGACCTAATCTGAAATAAAGGAAAAGGCAGGTGCTAATTCTATCCCAGGTTCATTGCTTTGCTGGTCCCAGGGATTCTGATCCTTCCCTACTTGAAGAGGTTGACACAGGAGGTTTTAAGGGGGTAGAAGACAGGAGCCTCTCTATGGTGAACAATTTCATGGCTGAGAAGAAAAATCCTATTCTAAGGGCTTCCAAGCTGCATGTGTTGTTTCTTTTATCCCCTGTGACTTCAGTTTGTTTCCACTCTTGGTAACAGTATTGGGGTACGTGTGGAAAAGCTTTAGCTTCGGGACACTGCACTGCTAAATGCAGTGGGCATGGCGGGTATACTGAGATATCTGTATGTCAATAGGCAGTGTTCGGAGCCCCATCAGCAGCCTTCACGCCTGCCTGGAGACTCTTACGGTGACTGAGGGGATGGTGCAGATATCCTTTGAGGACCTTTGCCCCACAGCTGATCTGGGAGATCACAAATGTCTGGTTAAATCTTGGCAGTCCCTTCTCTGAACTTACTGGCAAGAGTGTCTCACTGAGTTTCATGAGGCTGAAGCAGTGGCTCAATACCAGACAACCAGTCAGGGACCTCAGGGGCAGTGCAAGTAGAAACTCAAAACTGGATAGTTTATATTCACTAAAGGACACAGTGGACATAATGAGGGGCGAGATCATGAAAGAAGACACTTGTAACATTTAAAACCAACAAGGGACTAATGCCTAGTCTATATGGGGGACTCCTGCAAATAAACAAGGCAAAAAAGCAGGAACACCAAAAGAAAAGTGGTCAAAAAACTTTATAGGGGAAGAAATGAAAAAGGCTAATAAACACATGAAGAATTAAATTAAAACAAGAATGAGATAGTATCTTATTTGTTTTAGGTGTAAAAAGAAAGTTGGGTATTGTGTGAGCAGAGGGAGAGTAGGAATGTAGAAACGGTCAGGGACTGCATGGAGGGAGTGAGGCTCCAACAACCACTCTGCAAACATCCTATGACTCGGCAGGTCCATTCCTGGGCATGTATCTCCTTTCCTCCCCCTCCAGTTTCAAACAAGTACACAAGGGGACATGTTTGGGGATGTTCTTTGCAGCAGTATTTGTGACATCCGGAAGTTAGAAGCCCTCTGGGTGCCCATCACTGTGAAGGGGAGTGGTAGGAAGCAGGGGATGTGCATTATGTATTATGTAACAGAAGCAATGGACTATATATATGTGGTTAGATCTGAGTGAAAAGGAAAAGAATTAGACACAGCATCATTTATATAAGTTAAAAATACAGGCTCATGAAGCAACAGTGGACATTTTACACATACTAACAAAAGGATATGAAGGGTGGTAGGAATGGAAGTAGGGAATAAGAATAAAAGAATATTCAAATAAACAGAATTTATTCTTGTGGTGGGCACTAGTAGATTGCAGCTTTTGAGGGGCAGCCTACCCTCCCTGTGATATTCTCCAGCACCCAGTTCCAACCCTTTCCCCTGCATTCACCACCAATATCAGGTTCTTCCTGTATGATCAGGGCAGCAACCAGGGGCCAGGTGGGTGCCTAAAGGGCATAGAGCCTCCTTCACTCCTGTCCCTGCACACATGGTCCCCAGGATGAGACAGTCCCTAATCCCTTTGTTTTACTTCAGGGCATATTTGCACTGTCTCCATTGACACCGCAAAACGAGTTAGTTACTAATGTTGGGTCCCAGCCTTTCTGACCAGCTGAGATACGTCACAGGGATGGGAAACTTGTGGTCTCTTACTTGTAGGTCCTCTCTCTGTGAATGAGCCCCCTTCCAAGGATGGAAATCATGCAGTCCTTCATGGGAGCATCTAGAGAGTTATGGATGCTGACTGAGGCTGTAAGAGGTCGATACTGCTCTGCCGCCTCTGGCATCTGCGGGAAGAGACAACACCTGGAGCAGGGGCCACAGACACAGAGCCACAGTCACTCCTTCCTCTCCTGGGTGCCCACCCTGTACCCTCCCCATTACCTTCCTATCTCTGGCATCCTAATCCCAACCCCACAGCTGACTTCTTTACCCCTCTACCTGGTCTTCCTGCATTTACTCTCATCCTTGATCCATCACAGACTGCCTCTGAAGGTGCCTCTCCTCCACTTCGAGACCTTGGAGGTTTTCCCATTGTCTTGGGAATATAGCTTCAGTTGGCACTCAAAGCCCCTCATGGTCTGACCCCAACGCACCTCTCCAACCTCATTTGTTCTTCCCTTGACTAAACGACATCCAAGCCACATCTGGTATTTTCCCATCCCTAGCACACCCATCAGGTTCCCTGCCTTCAGGCCCCTTCTGTTTGCAGTGGCCTTTTCCTACCTCTGCACTGGAAGCTTACCCATTTTTCAAGGTCCAGTATAAATGCCACCTCCTCCGTGAAGTCTTCCTCAAACTAATCAGATGGACTTAATCCCCTTTACTTCACTTATCCCATAGTGACTTTGTGGCTCTATTAAAGCACTTACATGTAAGACCAAAAGTTGTGTCTCTCTTACCCAACTATAACCTCTTTGAGGGCATGAACCACATCACATTTATTTTGGCCAAGGTAGACATGTGGAAAGATGACCAGACCAAGAGCCATAAATCTCTAAAATGCCTCATTTTTATGATCTTGTACATGTTACTCTCTAGGACAGTTTCCTTATCTAAATAATGGAAACAGTTCCACCTCATGGGGCTTTTGAATTAAAAGACATGAAGGAGGTGAAAATACATTGGCCTATGTATAATGTGCTAAATAGACATAGGCTATTATCCCTGTAAGTATGGAGGCAGCAACTGGGAAGGCCCAACTTTAGACACCTTTACTGAACCACCTAAAGAAGGTGGAAGATTTAAACCGGAACACCATATGCAAGAAACCATCTCTGTGAAGACAAGGAGCTCTCAACCTAGCATTTTCCAGTAATCCTGCAGCAGAGTCACCTGCCCTGGAGTGTGATGGGCCCTGATTCTTTCTGAAATGGGGGCCTGAATAATAGTAAATGAGGGTGACTTGGGGGAACACTGGTGCCTACCTCAATGGTGAGGCATGGTCTGCCAATGGCGATGTCTTCCTGAGCAAAGCAGCTGAGGCTGGACTCTGAGTACGTTGCCAACGCGGTAAGTCTGAGGAAGCTGTTCTCGGGTGGGCTTTGCTCAAAATAGGAGTAGGACAGGATGGTGGTGATTTTCTTCACTGAGACACATGACAGGAGGAATCAGTGCTAGCATGTGTGCCCCGGACCCAGCAGTAGTTACACGCACAATGCGAAGAGGTCAAGATCTCACCAAAGCCAGAAAGATGCCTCAGTCCGCACAGCAATTCCAAACTTGAATTCATTCAAGAACCCATCCTTCACCACCATCCCCACCTCCACTAACATAACACTCTTGGCAGGCCACCTCAGTGGGGTTGTGGAACAGCCTTTTTGAACTAGAACAAGTCAAGCTTTCTTGGCCACAGTTGCCTTATCTAATAACACCCCCCTGGCTGGAGTTGGATGAAGTATGCAAACAGAGTGCACATCTCAGACCCTGCCACACAGTTGTTGCTGAATATATGCTAGTTCCTTCCCATTCTCTGTTTCTTCTCTTTCCCTTTGTCAGAGAAAATAAGGCCATCCTTCATCCTTAAGGAATCCTCCAAGTTCATGTTCCCATTCCCAACCTACAGACATTGACATCTACCCCCACTGTCACTGTCCCAGCAGGAGGATGAGGTGCCCCCCCCCCCGGCTTGAGTCTAGTCCTCTGTTTTTAAAACCTGTGCTCGTTTTCGACCCTGCCAATGCCTAGCTGTGAACTATGTCTTGGTCTCCTCATCTGGAAAGTGGGGATAATAATGGTTCCTGCCTCATAGGGTTGTTGTGAGGATAAATGAGACAATGCACATAAAACATTTAATATCACATTTGCCACAAATAAGCGTTCAGTAAATGTGAGCTATAATTATTCTAGTTGACTCTCATTTCCCCCAAAGTTTGCATCATCAGTTAAAACCTGTATTTCCTACTTGACTTGGCATGGTGGACACCCGATACAAGGTACAGATGATGTATTATAGAACTGTACCCGAAACCTATGTAATTTTGTTAGCCAATGTCACCCCAAGAAATTCAATTTTTAAAAAAGGATGAAAAAACTCTCTTGAGGCTTCAGGCTTTCCTTCTCTGCTGATTATTTTTTTCAACATGTAAGCAGATTTCACTTTCCCTCATCTTAAATGAAAAACAAATACCCTCCATCTACCCAGTGTCTCTGGCTGACTAACCCCCAGCTTCTCTTCTTTATTCATCCATTCTTCCAGAAAGAACTGCACACCTTGTCTTACCTCCTCAGCTCTCAGTCCATTTAACCCCGAGGAAGCTGGCATTCACCATCACTTCTGAGTAAGACTACTCTGCCAATGGACACTTTTCCACCTTGACCTCTCATGGCCTCTCTGTTGCCCTTGCTGGGTGCCCCCTCCTTCCTTTGACTTCTCCATCTCCCTTACCCTCTGTTCTCTCCCTAACTGCCCCTTACATGCTGGTGTCACCCATGTTCCCTCCTCATCCTCTCTTCTCACAGTCCTCCTTGCTCCATTGAGCTCTTCAACGTCATGACTCTTGGCCACACCTTTCTTCTGGGATTCTTATATCTGGTCTCTAACCCAGGCCTTAATGTTGAGTACCAGGTTTAGGTTTCCAGCTGCATACTGCCTAAGTAACGGGCTTTCAAACCCAACATCTTTAACAGAACTCATCATCTTTTCTCCAAACCTTTTCTTCCTCATTTTCCCTGTTCTAGAGGCCCCTTCAAACTGGAAGCTCTCTCCCCACCCCCACATACATATTCACAAGTCCAGTCTATAACCGTCTTAATGTATCTTCAATTGAAGTGCTGATAGTTTTCCTTCACTTCTTGATTATAACAAAAACTTTCAACCTCTAATCCAGTGGTTCTCAATATTGGATGCATATTAGAGCCACATGGGGCGCTTTATAAAACAATCCCAATGCCAGGCCATACTTCAGGTCAGTTATATCAGACTTGGGTGGTGATTAGTATTTTTAAAGTTTCCCAGGCGATTCAATGTGCAGCCAAGGTAGAGAACCACTACTCTAGTAAAACCCCTTCCATTCCATTCTCCCAAGTTCTTTTTTAAAAATGAATTTCTGCCTGGCCAGTGTATCTCAGTTGGTTGGAGTGTCATCCCATCAACCAAGAGGTCTCAGGTTGACTCCCAGTCAGGGCACATGCTTAGGTTGTGGGTTTGGTCCCCGGTCAGGTGCCTATGAGAGGCAACCAATTGGTGTTTCTCTTTTACATTGATGTTTCTCTCCCACCCCTTCCTCTCTCTCTAAAATCACTAACCATGTTCTCGGGTGAGGCTAAAAAAAACCCCTGAAAAAATGAATTTCTGATCATAATGACTCCCTGTAACAACTTTCACCAGTTACCTGTTGCCCAGAGAACAAAACTCAAACTGTTAGCATGACCTACAAGTTCCTGTGTGGCCTGGCCTTGCCCAGCTCCCATACCACTCCCCCCGCTGCTCCCCTCCCTAGCACCCCCTCAGAAGGGAAACATGGTGGAGAGACTGGAGGGAGGGTGGTGACTAGAAGTCTGTTGCAATAATATAGACAAGATCTATTCCACACTGATTCTATCTTGCTCCAACCATGGAATTTCTGACTTAATTGGTCTAGGGTGTAGGCTGAACATCAAATTTTCCTAGGTGATTCTGATTACAGGAAAGTTAGAAAACATCTGCTCTTGTCCAGGAAATTTCAACCACAAAATAATGTAGGCAGTTTAAAAACAACAACCACCACCACCCCCCAAAAGAGAAACACCTGGACCTCATCCCAGACCAATTAAAGACAGTCTCTGGGAGGAAGAACCTGAACACATGTCTTTTGCCTGGAATGCCCATGCCTCACTTTTCTGTCCATCACTGTCCTGCTCATCCTTTAAGACCCAGTGCCGTTTGATTTACTCAGAGGCAGCCTGCTGCAGCCAGGATGCAATGCTCCTCTGCCATTGTATTCTGTTTAACTTACCAAACACTTTTTACACTGCTGCTATAGTCTGTTTAGTTATATTACTGCCATCATAATAATCAGTGTTTTTCCTTCTATGTGAAGCACAATAAACATATATTGAGTGAGACAGAGAGAGAGAGAGAGAGAGCATGCACCAGAAGCTAGAAGCCATCTATTGAGACCTGCCAGGGGAGCCTTATGGCTGCAATCTGCCCTGGGTGGGAGCTGGGTGTTTGAGCAGCTGGCAGGGCCATAGAGAGTTACCTAGGTTGCCAGTGAGCTCAAGAAACATCTTCTTCCTCCAGAGCTCAGCAGCAAGGACGCCATTGTAATACACTGCCTGCACCCCAATTGCCAGCTGCACACTCTTCTCCTGGTCACTGGGGTTAATCAAGGTGACAGAGAATTGGGCATCCCCTCCCAGGGGGAGGGAGGTGGGTGCTTCCAAGAACAAGTACAGAGGATCGGCAGTCTCAGGACTGGGAGGACGGTTGCCATCATATCCCCCATGTTCCAGTTTCTTGTTCTGGACTCTCGCCAACACCTCTTTTTCTTGAAGAGATCCTGAAGAAAGGATAAACAAAGAGGCCTCTTATTCACAAATAAGACTCATTTACCCACTGCTGCTCAAATGCCAAAGTCACAAAAGCTTTGCAAACCTCTAAGGCCATATTTAGGTTAAAAAGAGAAAAAGGGGCTTGTACTCAGCACAACCACCAAGGGACAGAGTGTCCCTTCCAAGTCACTCAAGGACCAAGTTCTTTTCCAAGTGCTATGAATTTGCCCCTGAACAGTTGGAAAAGTAACCTTTTGGACAAGTCACACTGTCTCTGATGACAGTTTAGAGAGTTGAATCTTTCTAAGTGAAGGAGTTTGAATTTATTCCAAGGACACTCTGGAGGAGGGATGTAACATAATTATACTTGTGACTTAGAAAGCTCATTCAGGAAACAAAGTTTGGAATGGGAATAATGGCAGAGGGACTGCAGGCCGGGGGCCCAGGTAGGGGACTATCGGAATACCGGGGACCAGAGAAATGAGGCCCTGGGTCACCCGCAGGCAACAGGGAATGAGGAGATGGATGTGAGAGTGATGTGGGCTGACGAAGCAGGGAGGGACGACAGTGCAAGCCTCACACTTGGAGCAAATAGGTGGACAGTGGTGCCATGAACTAATACGGAGGGAGGAACAGATTGAGAGGGACTGGGTAGGCGGGGGAGAGCAAGAACATTTCTGGCAGCTGGAATTAGTATTTGGTGTGTTGTTTTATATACATAGTTCTCAAATGGGGGCAACTGTGCCCTTCAGGAGACATTTGGAAATGTCTGGGGACATTTTTGGTTGTCACAACCGGTGGAGGTAGTGGTAGAGGGGAGCTGGCATCTAGCGGACAGAGGCTGGGAAAGCTGCTAAATGTCCTGTGGTGCACAACCCCCACAACAAGGCCACCTGGCCCCCAATGTCGAGAGTGTCAAAGCAGGTTGAGAGACCCTGTTTTACATGGTGGGGACAGGATGACAACTCCCTGCAGCCTGCGTCTGTCTACCTATCCCTTCCCCTCTCTTGCTGTTTCAGGGGCTGAGAAGCCTGGGGCCCTCCCCTGCCCAGTACCTTTAGGGTACTTGTAGTTCTGAGTGATGTCCTCGCAGCGGTCGCTGCCCACACCTTTGGTGCTGATGTTGTTGCCGACATACTTAGTGTTGGAGTTGGTCAGCTCCAGTGTCCCATCCTCGCAGCACTTCCAGACCACACATGAGGCGTTTACTGTGGCAAAAAGGTCTGCCACTGCAGGGGTCAGCCCCAGGGTCCCTTCCTTGACTGCTCTGACAGGGACCAGATCACAGGCCTTCAGGGCTGAGGGACAGAAGGGTCAGTGAGTAAGAGGAGCCACACCCAGACCTCTGCTCAGGTCAGAGCTCCATAAGCTCAGTTCCTGTCCTAGACCCTATTTGCCCTCCCTGGGGATCAAGGTCGGAGGTGGGCACGCAGTGGGGTTTCTAAAAGGGTATACAGAGTGAAATACAACATTCAGTGACAATAATTTTGGTAATGGCCTGTGGCAGGAGCCCTGGACAGGGGCCTGGAACTGGACAGGTAGAACCTTGGGGGAACACAGTACACAGGGCTTTTAAGCCAGCTTTGCTCTGGATATAATAGGAATAGGTCCCCTTTTTTGAGCACTTATATATGCCAGGCTCTGTAGCTGGTCTGTTCTTGGGGAAAAAGAACCATATTTCATGGCTCCTGAAGACTACTTCCCTGAGCATGAACCTATTTTAATACCCTCTTCATCCATATCCAGAATCTCAGAAGCCTCACATTACAAGCTCCTGACCCAGCACCACTACCAGCTCTCCTAAGCCCCTCTACCTTTCCCAGAGGTTCAGTGGTCACGCCCATTGCTCAGAGGTGGGGCAGTCTCCCCACAGCCTTGGACTGAGGTGGCTAACACCCTTGTCCCCTTGAGCCCACTGGCATCGGGTCAGCATTCTGCCAGCCACTATCATTCTTTCCACTTTTCCTGTTTTAGGGGATGCAGACCCTCTTTGGACCACCTGCTACTCCCCTTTCCTCTCTGAGGGACTTCTTCAGCCTGCACAGCTCTGTCCAGCCCATGGTGGTTCTGAGCCCACCCCCAGATTTTACCTCCACCTCCCTCAGAAGCACTTGGGTACAGAATCTGCCATCCACCATAACCCTGGGGCAAAGCAGGTCGGGCCATCCAGCACTCCGTGGAAGTCTGGAAGATCCTGAAGGTGGCAAAGGAACAGTTCAAGTGTCGGGGAAATGGAGTCCTGAAGAGATGCTAGAAATAGCAGTTGCTGCCTGGGGTGTGGGAGGGTGCTGTGTCCAGGTGGCTGTGACACTCCAGGAAGGGGCTTGCATGCTACAACTGACCACTAGCGTCAAAGAGTCCTGAAGGCCTTCTCTCAGTGCCTGGGCTGCTCAGAATGGTGGGTTCCCTTGGGGTTCTGCCACTGGGTTTGGAGCCCTTCCAGCCAGAGTCTCTATCCCTTTCCGGCTCCTCACCAGATTTTTCCTCTCTGGACTTTTCCGTTCTGAAGCCCCTCCTCATCATAGCACTCCTCCACAAACAGGCGTCCACCGGTGGTCTGGGCTGAGCCGAACGTGGTAACAACTCGGGCAGGGATCCCCAGACACCGCAGCACTGTGTAGAAGGGACCGAGTCAGAGGGCCCCAGAGAGGCCAGGGGTGCGGGGTGCAGCTAGTGTCTCCAGTGTCTCTCCTCTGGGCAGGCACTGTCTTAAATGCCAGGTGATACCATGGAAAGAGGAGGGGCATAGGCACCAGGAAGTTAGAACTGACACCAGGCACATATATATAAAGGTCATGAACTGAAGTCCACACAAGTTATGCAGTTGGCAGAGCCTAAGGCAGGCTGGCAGAGCACTGGGGGCTTGCTCTGTCTATGGGTGGAGGGCCAGGGAAGTTTCAGGGTGAAAGTGGGATGGGAGCAGAGTTCTCCAGAGAGGCCCAGCTTTGCTGAGGGGAGAGAGGAGCAGAGGCTGGTCAGGAGGAGCAGCCCTGAAGAAGTAGTTGGTTTCTTGCCAGATGGTGCATCTGAACCAGATGGAGAGGAAATGCTGTAGAGTGGAGGCAGTACCTGCTTTTGGAGATGTCCCTCCCGCAGGGCACCCTAAAGGCAGACACTACAGTGGCCAAGGTGAGCTTGCCCTGTACCTGTGCAAGCAACGGCAGCCAGCACCCAGGCCTGACCCTCATACACAGGTCGCCCTTGGCCTGTGAGCCACTGCCGCAGGATGGGCACGCTGCCCCGGCGCTTGTTCAGCAAGGCCCCTTCCTGGGTAGCCTGGGGCTGCGGGGTGGGCAGGACACTCTTCTTCTTAAGGGCGTGCAGCTGTTTGGGGAAACATGTGGACATAATGTGAGTCCCAGGATGAGACAGCTCTCGGGGTGGGGTGGGGATGAGGGTGTAAGCTGGGGTGAGAAGGTGGATGGGGGTGGGGAGAGAGCTCATCACAGTTCTCCAAGTATGGTGAACAGATCATCTGCATCAGGATTACCTGGACCATGTTAAACTTACATGTTCCAGAGCTCCACTTTAGCTCACTGGGTTATAACCTCTGGGAGCCTAGGGGAGCCCAGGAATCCACTTTTTAAACAAGTCCTCTAGAAGCCAGGGGTTTGTGGACCACACTGGCCAAGAAAGCCACAAGAGGAACATGCGGGTGGCCCCTTGCTGGGGGCTGGGTTTTCTGCTCCTCCACTTGCCTGGTCCCAATTCCTTTGAGGGTGTTTGCACCTGGGGTCTGGGGCCCCACTTATCCTAACCCTCCTCCTCATGAGCTGGCTCTGTCTCTCACCACCTCTTCAGAGGAGAGTCTAGTGGCACAAGAGGAGATGGAGAACACATTATTCCTGGGAAGGACTTCTAGGAACAATGGGAAAGTACCAAGCTACCTTCATGGTCTACATATCTTTAGAAATAAAAACAAGTCCCTTTGACCACCTTAGCTGCAAACACTGACTAAGATGGACCCTACCCCCTCCCTTGCAGGGGCCTGCGGGGAGGAGGCAGGTGACAGAGGAGTGCTCTGAGGAAGTCCAGGCTAGTTTTAGTCCTCATTGGCTTGAGTCTTGAGGAATGATACCTCCCTTTGCTTTTCTCTCTCCCATGGATGCTGCTGTCCTCTCCTCCTCTCCATGCCTTTCTCCAGGAACTGTCCCCCACACCCTGAAGACATCCAGGGCCATAGAGGGGGGAAGCTCTGTTAGAGGGCTCCCCCTTTCCCTCTTCTCACTCACCAAGCTGCCCAAGATGCAGGCCACATGCACAGGGTTGCCCCACTTCTCCACCTGCTTGTCCACACTCAGCAGGTCCAGGCTGAGGTCCAAGACATCCCCCTCGAACTGTAAGGACCACACAGAGCCGTAATGAAGGGTTCCCATCGCACAACTGAGCCCCATCACCTTGTCCTTTTCCCAGACTCACGCTTCCCTCCTCCTTCCCTTGCCTTGTCGTCTCCCAGTGCCCCCTGGTCCCGGTGTCTGGCAGTCCAATCCCAATAAGGTATAACTCTTGAAGACCAGGGCTTCTTATTTCCTTTCATTTTTATCTTTATGCATTTAGTGCACTCCTACTGCTCCTGCCAGCACTGACCCACGTGTGGAGGACACCAAGACAGCCCCTGCTCTTGCAGAGCCCACATTTAGGAGTGGAGAGGGACACGTAGCCACTTAGACTACAGATCTCAGCCACGTGGTCAGGGCTGTAGCAGAGATGCCAACCCAGGGCAGAGAGTGCAGCAGGGATTCGCTTTGCCTTTCAAGGCTGAGGAAGGCTTTCAGAAGGTCTTAAAAAGATGGATAGGAGCTTCCCAGGTGACAAAGAAGGGAAGCTATTCTAGGTGGAGGGGACATTCAGCATGCACATCGATGGGCTGGCCAGGAACTGGAGCCTGAGTGGCTCTTGGGGAAAGGAAAGCAGTAGTTTGGCTGTAAAGGGCCTGTGTGTGGTGCCAGGGCATTGGTTGTCATCCTATAGACAGTGGGGATTTAACAGAAGAGTTTAATTTGTATGGTCTTTTAGAAGATAACTCGGGAAACTGTACAGGATGGTCTGACATGGCCCTGAGGAAAGAGCGGTACCACATGGCAGAAATCTCTTAAACATGTTGTCTCATGACCAGGGGTTTTTGGACCTGCCAGCTCTGTCTGGCCTGAACACTAAAGGTTCACTGTCCCCTCACCTTCCCTGGAGGCCCCCATACCTGGCCAAAGTCCCAGGGCTCTTCCTGGATGCAGTCAGCTGTACCCAGGTAGATGAGGCCGTTCTGGTTCAACAAGTACTCCCAGCGTTGCGCCTCATTCTCCAGGAACACAGCATCCTCTGGTGAGAGGCAGGCAGGGATGAGGGCCTGTGGGGTGCTGGGTCTGCTCTTCACATCCTGGCCTCTGCCTACCCCGCCCAGGTCAGTTTTGGCTACATGTCTCCCCTTCAGCTGTAGGTCTAATGAGGACTGAAGAAGAACTTCCTCTTTTCACTGCCCCCACTGGGACCCAACTTCTTCTCTGGTGGAAATTGGAGAAAGGGGCCAGAGCTTTTGCATCAGTCAAGGTGACCTTCATGGTCAGCCAGGCAGACAGCAACAAACCAACCTTAAAAAGCTGACGGTCCCAGAAGACATGTGCAGTCAGGGTGCTACCAACACAAGAGAATATGGCAATTGCCCAGGGAGATTCCCAGGTGGCCTGTCATGTCTTTCTCATAAGTTCAACTAAAAAGTAGTGTTTCAGAGAAACCAGTACAACATAGGTTGACAGGGGTGAGAGGAAAGGAAGAGTAGTACTTGGCAAGACAGGGTCAGAAGGAGCAGTGGGGCTGGTGAAGTGGAAGCCGAAGTATTGACTTTCCATTCCAGGGGTGTCCAAGTGGGTCTGGGACTCCCATGGTCCCCTGCTGATGCCTGCCCTGCTGTCCTCATCCAAGGGCTTGTCTGGGGAGGTGGATGGGGGCTTTGAAGAGTCCATGGCCCCCTATAGAAAGCTGGAAGTGGTAGGCGACCTCCTCTGCTTGTCAAGTGCCTCTCTTTCTGCACCTGGTGCTAGGGGTGGAGTGGGGGATGGTTAGGCTGGCACCTGGGGACTAGAAGGAGAAAATGGTCTCCAAACCAAACCATCCCCCCAGGCATCCATTTGGGATGAAGGTGCTTAGAGCAACAGCAGGAAAGGATATTAGAACTCAGAAAGCCCTGAAAAACCTGGGGCCTGAAATCAGAGGGCTCTTGTCTCTGATTTTAAAATCAAGGACACTCTTGCCTCTCCATCCTGAGCACTTTCTATGAATTCAGCTAGACATCACTTCTTTGGCAGTCACTTCAAACTGAGGTATTTGACCCAGGTGCTGCAGGGCTCTGGGAAGTACATTATCAGAGCACAGGTGGCACCATCCTCCTCTTCTCAGCTTAGGCACAACCCCCGTTTTATAAAGTTCCCTGCTGATCTACAGGAGGCCTGCGGTGGAATTTGCAGCTCCAGTCATCAGTAGTAAGAACAGATCAAACATGTGGAGAGAAGCAGGACAGATTTACTGTGAAGCCAATGAATCTGAAGTTTGGGGGCCTCTCAGCAGACCCCCTTCAGGACTTGGGAGGGGCCTTCGCAATTCAAAATTTTGTCTTCTCTTTCTTTAAGAGGGTTCCCCAAATTATATAAACCTCAGGTCCCACACAACCTGGAGTCACCTGGTGATAATCTATGGGAGTCCAAGGAGGAAACAGAGAAGCTAATCCCTTAGGTCACCTGTATTCCTGAAGTACTTTCTAGTTCTTGCCCCCTCTACTGTCACAATAAAGGGTAGCTCTGCCAGGGTCTTCTCAGACTGTTATCTCTTGTGACCAAATAGCTTGAGCCAACACTGGAGTTTGGTGGTGAGATAAGCCTTTGCTTTCCCAGGGAAGCCCCAGGCTGTTTCTGCCAGGGTGGGAGAAGCCATTGGTCTAGGGAGCAGATACCGCAAGAGCCAGCGTTGGGGCTGGCGCTGCCTTTAGAGGAAGCTGTCAGGCTGCATTCAGAGCCTGGGTGCTGAGTATCCTTGCAGCCCAGGCTGACCCAAGTCCAAACTCACCTTGAACCCAGGGGTTAAAGAGTAAGGTGAACTGGCCCAGGAGGCGTGGTTTCCTGTGCAAGACCTGCAGCAGGAGTGAGTAGTGGCCGATGACAGCGTCTGAGGGGGTGGTCACAGAGATGGTCCAGGACTGGGCATCTCTCTCCTCCACCTCTGCACTCCACCACTTCTGGTCCCCCAGACTGGAAATTGGGAATGTGGCCTGGGTCATGTTGGCCTTGGAAGGCTGCTCTCCTGCAGTCACACACAGATGTATTGGTCATTTGGACCTCCTGGTCACAACTGAGTAATGAAGTCAAGTATCACAAAGTTGGAGTAGGTAAAAAATTAGTTTTGGAGGAGAATGAGGGGCCCACCCATTAACGGGAGTCGATAAAGTGTGACCGGAGCACACAGGATCTCGGTGCCTATGGACCCGAGTCTGGGGACTTCGCAGTCTACAAATGGGCATCGCGATAATGCCTGCTTCGTGGGATCAGTGTGAGGTCTTCATGAGATACAGCAGGTAAACACCTTGGCCCATTATCTGACATGTAGTACAGATTCGATAAATAGTAACAATTAAATATGAGATCTAGCCTGGATTAGATCCTATTCAGGCTTTTCTACAAAATCGGCATTATATTTGCAACCAAAAGAAACCCCCTAGAGATGCTGCTGCTGAGCCATTTCTGAACCATAATAAACAATACTTATTATGCACAATATCTTCTCACAACAGCCCTGCTGGGTGGGCAAAACTTCTTGAGGCCCAGTACCCTGTAGGCCATTTGCCCCTTAGTTCCCTGGGAAGGGGAGGGTGATGGGAAAGAACCCTCCAGTCCCAGTACAAAAGGGCCCTAGGCCTGCCCCACTTACCAGTTTGTGCAATGAGGGCCACCTTCTTCAGGGTGGGCAGAAATGCATGGACTGGAGCCCGAAAGTGCAGTGTGATGATGAAGGGCTGCCCCCTTCTCACGACAAGGCGCCTGGAGCTGATGTCCTTGGTATGGTGCTCCTCATTGTTTCTTGCTGCCTGGAAGTCACAGCTCTTGATCCCCAGCGCTGTGTGGAAGAGAGAGAACACTGAGACAGAAGTAAATGTGACAAGTAAGAAAAAGCAGAGACCCTGCAGCCAGAGAGACCACTGTTCAAAATCCTTGGCTCAACTTACTTCCTAGCTGTGCCACCTAAGGCAAGTAACTTAACTACTCTGACCCTCAATTTTCTCTTCCTTGGAATAATCACTCCTCCCTGCAGGGTTGTGGAAATTAAATGAAGTAATGTATATACAGTAGTCCTCCCCCACCCTCTCCCCTCGGGGGATGCATGCCAAGACCTTGGTGGATGCCTGAAACTGTAGACAGTGCCAAACCCTACACTACATACTAGTGATTTTCAACAGGTGTGCCACAGAATTTTTAAAATTTGCAATACCTGACTATTGAATTGGGGACACTGACCTCTTTTCCCTTAGATTGTCAAGTAGCAATATGACAACAGCCAACACAACAATAGCCATCTGGTGTGAATGCATTAAAATCATACCTATTTTTTGTCAGATCAACAACAAATATATTTTTGGTGTGCTGCAAAATCTTAGTTTACGTAACGAGCTTACGTGTGCCATGAGATGGAAGGGTTGAAGATCACTGCTATCTACTGTGTTTTCTCCTATACATACTTATGATAAAGTTTAATTTACAAATTTGGTACAGCTAGAAATTAACAGCAGTAACGGTTAATAATATAGAACAGCTATAACGATGTACTGTAATAAAAGTTGTGAGTGTTTTGGGGGTCCTTATTAAGCAAGATAAGGATTACTTGAACGCAAGCACTGAGATACCTCGAAAGCCTGTATGAAAGCCGAGATGGCTATGAAGCGATAAAGGGCAGCAGTGTGCACAGCACAGACACACTGGACACAGGCTGGCTCCCACCCCGGGAAGCACATGGGGTGAGATTTCATCATGCTACTCAGAACAGCCTGCAACTTAAAACTTATGAATTGCTTACTACTGGAATATTTCATTTCATATTTTCAGATCACTGTTGGCTGCAGGTAACAAAACCATGAAGAGTGAAAACAGGGACAAGGGAGGACTACTGTAATACACTTAACACAGGGTCAGATATGTAAGTCCCATTAAATGAAACTGTTATTATTATTAATAATAAGAACAGTGCTTTTTCTCACCGCTGACCTCCTATTTTGGTCCCAATCCAAAAGCAGTGAATAAAATCCAGAATTTTGCCCACCCCTACTCATTTTCTCTTAGAACAAAATCAGATAATTTTAAGAGCTGGTTTTGAAATCACTAAATCCAATTCTCTTGTTTTATATTGACAAGAGTAAGGCCCAAAGAGTAGAACCAACTCACCCAAGATCATACTTGGCTGTTTCCCCTAAAGGTTCACCAAATCTATGGCACCACACAGCCCAGAAGAACTGTACAAGGAGGGGGGCCTGGGAGTATTAATACAGTGTAACAGACAATCCCCGTCTATAATGAGACCTGTCAGTGTGCTAACAGACCTGTGCAGAGGCCCCTGAAGTTTCTGCCTAACCTGGGTCTGCCTGTTCTCTTGCTCCATGTCTGCCTTTGCCCCTTTTAGTTGGATTCCCTGACTCCCTACTTTCCCTTCTTTTCCATTTAGCCTCAAAGATATGACACCTCATGTGTTTCCAGGGTCATCTCCTGTAAGTATCACAACCCAGGGAGAACAGTCATGTTATGATGATCCTGGGACAAGAATATAAACCCATGTTAACCACCACCATCATCATCTTACCACCATCATCACAACTATGACCACTTACTTCCCAAACCTACCCTGTTGCCACTGCATGGCCCCACCGCCATCACCTCCACCACTACCAGCACTCACTACCATTCCTCGCCATAGTCACATCACCTCTGCCACCATCCTGCTTCCTTTAATGAAAACACATCATGATGGAAGGGCTGCTGACAGTCCAGCAGGCCCCATGGAGGGCTGGCTTGGCTCACCCTGTCCCATGGCTGCAGGTTGCTCTTATCCAGGAGCCCACAGGAAGTGCCTGTCTTGAACAGTAGCTCAGGGCTCCCTCTCTGAATCTGTCTTCCAGACAGAAATTGATGAAGGTAATTTTGTTAGCTTAAGAACTATAAATAGTGGAGTTTCCTTCCTCTTCTCTTGTGAGCTCCCTGACAAGTTGCTTCTCTCCTATTCCCTCCCTGCTGATATCTCCTGGGCCAGCTGTTGGGAGTTACCATTTTTCATTTTATCTCTTATGCTAGGAAGCCCAGGCAGGGGTATGCCTGGCAGGCTGGATTCGGGGGTGAAGTGGAGAAGATCTGCCATCTGGAGAAGCCCCTAAGAAACCCCTATACCTGTTGCTTCAGTGGCCTCAAGAGACCTTCTGAGATGTTACCTGCATGACACTTGAAAGACTTTGGAAGAGATGACGCCACAAACAGTAGGCCCACATCCAACCCCAAATCTCAGGCCCTACACATATCATGGGCTGCAAGTTGCTAGATGTTCATGGGCTGTTTTGATAATACAGAGAGAGAACATGTGTGTCTGGGACTCATCTGTGTGAAAGAGATAAGGAGGCAGACTTTGTTGGTGAAAAGTGAATGTCCTAAGAGCAGAAGCCAGGGCCCAAGCTCTTCTAAGCCTGCCGGCTCTGGGACACTCTATCAGGGAAGGGTTGGAACGATCATGGGACCCAGAGTCTCTGTTTTCTATTTCTACTTGTCCAGTCACCAAGGAGATAAGACAGAGGAGAGGATCTCCTATTTGGCTGTCTTTGACCTTCTAAAATCCAGCTTTTGATTGAGCTTCTGAGACTGTCACCAGAAGCACCCCTGGGGCAGCTGTGCTGGCCTGCATGTGCTGGGGTATCTATAGAAGGACACAGAAGAAACAACAAAGGACATTGGTTGCTTGTGGGGAGGGGAGCTGGGGGATGGTAGTCAGAAGGCGATTTTTCTACATGTTGGCCCTTTTATACTTTTAAAACTTTAAACTATTACCTATTTAAAGAATCTTATTATATTAAAAAATGAAGTTGCTGCCTTCTTACACACCCCAAAAAAGATTCTTCATGCAAAATTAAGAGGTAAATTTTTCTTTATTTGATGATGACATTATGTTTACCTGGAAAACATGAATCTATTAAAAATGACTATAAAAGATAAGATAACTGATTTTAAGTTTAATGCATTCTCAATAAAAATGCCAACAAGTTTTTTTCTCTGACACTAGAAAAGTTGATTCTAAGGTTCAAAAAGAAATCTCTAAAAGGGGAATGCAGTATGACCAAGTTTCCTAGATAATAAGACATATGATGGTATTGTAATTGAGAAAGTACATAGACCAAATGTACTCATTAAGTATGTGTTAAATATGGCAAATAATACCCAAGTAATATCTAGCAAAACTTTAAATGTCTATACATCTGAATCACTTCTAGACATTCTATCATGCAAGTAACTAAATGTGTATAAAATAAAATATTTACAAGTATACCTATTGTATTGGTAGTTACAATAGCAAAATATTGGAAACTGCTTAAATGTCCATCAATAAGGTACTAGACAGATAAATTGTGACACATGCATTCAAAAGAATACAAGAATGAAAAAAAATGAAGTAGCTCTATATAAACTGATACAGAACAATCTCCAAGCTATGTTGTCAAGTGGAATAAGGTACCTTTGTATACAGGGTGTGCATGTGGGATAATATATCTGAATTCACTTGTGTTTATATAGAATAGTTCTGGAAAGTTACTGCTTCTGGACTGGGAAATTAGTGCCTGGGGTAAAGCTTTTGTTTTTTCTGTATATCCTTGTGTATCTTTGTATCACAAGCATATATTATATGTTTACAAAAACCAAAAATGAAAGCTTGGAAAGGAAGGAAAAGGCTGGCTGGAAGAACTGTTTTCACCACTGTGAGCTCCCCCTGGAAGGGCACTGGGGAGCTCATGGGCTGCCTCCCCTTTTGCAGGTTTGTTCTTCTGGTATGAGCAAAGAGAAGCTCTTGCTTCCTGATGCAGTTCCCACGGAGCTTCACAAAACCCCATGATCGAACAGTATTTCACTTGGAGCACTTTTGAGGGAGCCCATGATGAGGCAGATACTGCTGTGTTTTGTTTGGGCTGGGGAAGGTGAGTGCATAATGTGAAGAGGATAGAGGGAGGAGTGACCTAAAAGTCTGTCCTGCTTCCTACTGCACCCACACTTTTTAACTCCACAGGCTCTGGCTGAAAAATAGTCAACTGATGTGTACCCAAGAAGGATTCATTTACTCATTGATGACACTATTGTGCATCAGGAACTGTATTAGGCACTGGTAATGCAGTGATAAGATAGATGTGTCCCTGCCAACAAGGAGTTTATATTTCAGCAGGGGAAACAGACAGAATGACATATTCACACCATTAATTATTTAGTTGTTATAGAAGAGAGGTTTCAAGTTCTAGGACCTAGGTGTGGAGGTAAGGAAAGGCTGAGAAACTGGAAGAATTAATAGCCATTAGTTAGGCAATGGGGCAAAGGGTGGGGTGGGGTGGGAGGAGAGAGAACAGCGTGTTCAAAAGCCCTAAGGCAGGGAGCCACGGAAAGGAAGTCCCTGGAACTGAGCATGGATTGTGAGGGGGAGAGGTAAGGCAAGGGCTACATCTTGCAGAGTCAAGTTAAAGATTTTGATTTTTTTTTTTTGCTTCGTGTCACTGGGAAGCTATTGAATGGTATTTTAAACAAGATAGTAACACAATCAGATTTGTATTTTAGAAATACCAACTGAGGAAAATAGGGAAAATTATTTAGTGGGGAAAAAAGTGAGAGAGGACCAGTAACAGACTGTCATAATGGTCTAAGTGAGAGATGATGGTGGCCTGGTGAGAGGATTTTTAGTTAAGATAGAGGCAAACAGATTTGACAGAAATGTAGGGGGTTAAGTTGGCAAGACACACTAATGGATGGATATAGAGAACAAAGAAGGATATTGAACTCCCAGGTTCAAATAAATGCATCTTGAGTGCACCTTGAGTACCCAGGTTGGGTGATATTGGAGGCTATGCCACTGAACACTACAGGGCACCTACTACATTAGGCCACACTACCAAGACACGGAGTCAAAGCAGCTCTACCTAATACATAGAAACAAACACAGGGAGGCTGCAAAAATGAGGAAACAAAGAAATATGGCCCAAGTGAAAAAACAGATCAAAACTCTAGAAAAAGAGCTAAACAAAATGGAGATAAGTAATCTATCAGATGTAGAGTTCAAAACACTGGTATAGGGGTGCTCAAGGAACTCAGTGAAGACCTCAGCAGCATAAAAAAGATTCAGTTGGAAACAAATGATCCACAAATTGAAATAAAGAAAATTTACAGGGAAACAACAGTAGAGTGGATGAAGCCAAAAATCAAATCAATGATTTGGAACATAAGGAAGAAAAAAAACAACCAATCAGAACAACAAGAAGAAAAAAGAATCTAAAAAAATGAGGATAGTATAAGCAGCCTCTGGGACAACTTCAAGAGGTCTAACATTTTCATCATAGGGGTGCCAGAAAGAGAAGAGAAACAGCAAGAAATTGGAAACCGGAGCTCTTCCGGCAAGATGGAGGAATAGGTGGACGCACCGTACCTCCTCGCACAACCAAGATTAGAACAACAATAAATTACGGTCAGCATAACACACAGAACTGATAGAGGATTTATCTGAATGGAAGTTGGACAGCCAAGAAGTTGAAGTAGACCCGTACATCCAGACCGGTAGGAGACGATGAGCCGAGCGGGCGCGGGGCTGGCGCGGGTCGGCGGCACATGGAGGTTGGGGAAAGTTCGGCGCGGAATCGGCGCGACAGCCATCCGGGGCACAAGAACGCAGCGGTGATCCCTGAGTACGCAAGCTGCGGCTGCCGGACCCAGTGGGGCAGCGATTGTGGACCAGGGCAGAGCTCGCAGCCCAGGAGCCCGGGGAAGGGTCTGGGCCCAGGAGAACTGAACTGCCGCCATTGTGCGCCCCCGCCCCCACATATAACGTCACAATCTAGCGACTGGGGTGCCCAGCCCCTGTGAACACCTAAGGCTCTGCCCCCACCACAACGAGAGCGACCAGACCGGAAAAAAAAAAATAGGAGAGACAGGGAAAGACATAAGACATGTGTACAACAGAGCAGATCAGTCCCCCAGGACTCATCCTTTTGAGTGACCAAGAAATAGCCAATCTATCAGATGCACAGTTCAAAACGCTGGTGATCAGAAAGCTCACGGAATTCGTTGATTTTGGGTGCAATTTAGATGAAAGGATGCAGGTTACCATAAAAGAGATGCAGGAAGATACATGGAGGAGAGCCAATAGAGAAAGAAAGGAATCTGAGTTTCAAAACAATACAGTGGACCAGAAGGAAGATAGAATCAACCAAGCAGGAAAGCATGATGAAATAAGAATTAAAAAAATCGAGGAGAGCCTTGGGAGCATCCAGGACACCTTTAAACGTTCCAACATTCGAATTATAGGGGTACCAGAAGGGAGGAGCTACAAGTGGAAAAGTTATTTGAACAAATAATAAAGGAGAACTTCCCCAATCTGGCAAAGGGAACAGTCTTCCAAGAAATCCAAGAAGCTCAGAGAGCCCCAAAGAAGTTGGACCCAAGAAGAAACACACCAAGGCACATCATACTTACATTAGCCAAGGTAAAAACGAAAGAGAGAATCCTAGAAGCAGCAAGAGATAAGGGGACAGTAACCTACAAAGGAGTTCCCATCAGATTGTCAGCTGATTTCTCCAAAGAGACCTTACAGGCAAGAAGGGGCTAGAAAGAAATATTCCAAGTCATGAAAGACAAGGACCTACATCCCAGATTGCTCTATCCAGCAAAGCTCTCATTTAGAATGGAAGGGAAGATAAAGTGCTTCTCAGATAAGGTCAAATTAAAGGAGTTCATCATCACCAAGCCCTTATTTTATGAAATGCTAAAGGGACTTATCTAAGAAAATAAGATAAAGAAAAGACATGTATAGTAAAAGGACAGCAAACTCACAATTATTAACAACCACACCTAAAGCAAAACCAAAAGAAACGAAGTAAACAACTAG